TTTACTATGTAATAAAAAGGGGAGCTCAATGACTGCATTGTCACTCCCTAAATCTCCAAAAATTCAAGGAAATATGAAATAACCAACAGTCTGAGGACAAATCAATCTTTGCTTTCTCTGAGCAAACAAATTGCCATATAGTATTAATATAAAATTATCATTTTAATATTCAGAAAATACAGTACTTGATCATAAAAAGATATTCAGTAAATATAGTGATATTCATTTTTCTACTTCCTTACTGACAGCAAGGTTGCAATGTTGTTAGCTCATTTCCCAAATTAGCAGCAAGTTGAAAACAGATTGACTAAGGTACAATCTCTGTTTACAGAATTTTGTGATAGGGAGAGTCGAATATATGGCATGTCAAAGTGCACTGATGCAGAAAAGCTGGAAGAAACTCTGGAGCTTGATCCGGAATTTAGTCCATATAGACTGCCCTCTCTAGAGCACCAAGTATATGGTTAAATGCAGATATAGAAGACTTTTAAACTAATAGGATAAGTGGCATACATGGCTTATGTAGAAATAAGAGCTGGAGTTTCAAGTTTCTGAATTTACTTCATATCACAACATTTGTGGTCTAAGTCACAGTCTCATCTTCATACTTATCGATGAGAAACAGACATAGATTGTAGTAGTGTTTGGATAATGGACAAACCATCAGAATAATACTGGTATATCTTTTTTAAATAACGGCGGAGTGGGGCCAGCTTGCATGTACTTCGACTATTCCATCTGCTATCTGCTGGGGTTTAAACCTTGGTCTCCAAGGTCTGAACCTTTGATTGACCACTAGGCCATACCCTTGGGTGTCAAAGTAATATTGGTACTTAACTAACTAAAATTATTTTCAGAAATGAACAGAGCGCTTGCTTACCCTCGAGAAGTAAACTGTTCCCGATCATCTAATACCAAAACTACTTCATAAACATCTTCAAATTGCTCTCCATAGGCCAATGGCGGCGCCACCAAGAGATTGGATCTAGTTTCCAGACATGGTAATTGCTCATCAACTAGCTGAACACACAATAGAACAAAGATATTAGAAACAGAGAACTTAATTCTTCCATGCGTCACTGTCAGTCTACAGCAATACATCTTAATGTGTCAGGAACTCAGATAAAAAAGCTCGTACTGCCCTGTAGCAAGTCAATTTTGAACTTACATTGGATGAACAAGCTCTCAAAGTATTCGAACAATCTGCAAAATCAGCAAGATGAGAAGGCTTTGCACTATTTACTGTTCCATTGCAAGTAGTCTCGGATAGTCTATCATCAATTCTACAGGTACCAACTTGACCTGGCCATCGACAGTCACTAAAGTCATGCAAAAGAATGCTTAATTTCAACTGTTTCAATCAGCACCTCTAACAAGCCAAACTGTGAGTTCTTAAATCTTCGTACTAACGATATTTCTACATGAAACTATCTAAAAGGAGTCAGAAAACAAACCATAAACTTGATCTTCGCGAAGGCGACACAGAACAGACGGCCAGATTAATGATATATCTTTGCTCTGTGATGTTTCTAACACTTCAGAGTAAGCCCGAATTACTTGTTCCTTGGAGAAGCCCATTCGAATAAACTACAAGAATCAGATGCACAGAACAAAAAGAAGTCATATCAAGGAAGCATAAATTGCATAAACTGGATTAGTTTAACAAATGCCAGAGCTACTTCAAAAAGAATCTTAAAAGAAGAAAATGGAACAGCTTTGAAGCATCTTAAAGTAGAACTCAGGGAACTACTTTTAATGGAATTAAAAAAGTGNCCCACCCACCCCAAAAAAAAAACTGATAATCAAGCATGAGGACTCTCATAAAAATTGGACCTCAAGATTTGCTTAGCTGTATGTCTAAGATAAATATGCTACAGAAATTTGGGTGAATCTTACTAAGATCTCAGAAATTAACTTGTGTTTAGTCATTTTCCGGTTTCAATGAGAAAAATCAGTACTAAAGACATCGACAAGTCAAGACTTGATCAGGTGGAAGAACATAACTATGCGGTGAAAATATGATAAGGCTTGAATGCTTTAATGAATTCGAAAGTAAAATTCCTGAGTGGAAAAAAAAGATCTCTGGATGACAAATGAAAAAAAACAGCTTTTACTGCAAGCACGTCTGCTTCTGCAACAAACAATAGCCACAGATAGACTCAAAAGTAGCAGGATACAGGAATTGCTTCACCTCATTCAATATGGTAGTGGCAATGATGCTGCAGCCATCACCTTAGACCATAAAAATCACATAGTATATGCACCAGATTTGGCAACTAGCAAGCACTAAATAGAGTGGTTTGATGCTTACATATTTATGTTTATCTTGAAAATTGATGAAAGCAATAGGTCCAGGTTGCTGCTAAACAAGACACCTAGATGTAAGAGAATCTAGGGACTCAAGGCATCATAAGGTATTTGAGATGGGGCATTTTTTTCAGAAGAGGGTGGTCGGTTTTTATTTGAGCCTTTTGAGTATGCAGTCTCAGAAAATGAGCTATTAAGGGGTATGCCCCTTCTCTTTTCTGTAGTGAAGTTCTGCTCACAATAACATGAAGCAGTAATTCTCCATAAACATGACCCTCATCAAAGCTGAAGTTCCATTCCATTAAGAACAGTTCAATGCTTTGGTGCATGGTCTTGGAACGTATTCAAGGCTCAATCATAGTACTCTATTATTTAATGCCAGTTAGATATTTCTTTTAAAATTTACGAGAGAGTAAGCAATCAGGGTATCCATCAGGGGCGTACGCAGGAATTTTTATAAGCGGTGTTGAAATTTATAAAAGAACTAGAATAATAACTTTAATTATTATTTTTCTAAACAAGAAATAGCTTAGTCTATTGGTTTTATTGAGTCTTATGTTAAAAAAGCCCGAGTTCAATTTGCTTCATCACAATTTTTAACCACAGAGGTTTTCTCAAATATTTACAAAAAAATGTGCTAGTTGAGGTTTGAACCTTTAACCTCTTAAAGCAAAATCAAGCATATAACCAACACACCAAGAGACAATCTTTGTCAAATAGTGTCATTGTTTTCTACTTATTCGTCTCTTTTCAGTATTAATACATGTACTTAGTAAAATTTTCCAACGAAGCGGTGTCACGTGACACCGCTTCGTTAAAGGTGCTTCCGCCCCTGGTATCCATGATGACTCGTCCATCGGTGATCAAACAAGTCAGAAAGCAATCTGCCAGGCAATTGAATACCCATATTAGTACAGATTTGCACTTTCTGAAGCTTTCAGCGTCAATTACGGAAGCAGTAAAAATGACAAGTGAGGCTCTGAGGGAAGAGAATTATTGCTAACATTTAACAAGAGGTATTAAACTACACATTGTTGTTATCAAGTTAAGAATCATGAATACAAGTAGCACATCTAAAACAGAAAAAGTACCCTGTCAAGAGATTCAGATGGAATGTTCATTTTCTTTTTGCCAGTCGATTGAGATGATGGCACTGGCCTTTTTCTCACTGAAGTAGTATGTCGAACTTCGGTACTTGATAAGTTAATAGTTGACAAAGTCTTATCTAGCTTGTCATTTTGATCCAAATCTGAAAATCCTGTCAAAGATGCCGATATTTCTTTGGAATCAACAATTCCTGACCTCAAAAGACATTCCCGTGCAATCTCTTTGCCTGCTTCAGTGAGCATATATCTGCACTTATTGACAAAGGATGCATGGTTTATTACTACGCGGGCGTTCCGGAAAAAAGTGAAAATGGTATTTGAAAATTAGAGTTGTGTTTGGACATGAATACAATTTTGGGTTATTTTTGAATTTTTGTGTGTTAAGTGAAAATTTTGAAAAACAGCTTTTTGGAGATTTTTAAATTTTCGAAAAATTACCAAATTTATCTTCAAGTGAAAATTGAAAAATTATGGCCAAACACTGATTTCGAAAAAAAGTGAAAATTTTCTCGAAAGAAAGTGAAATTGTTTTTATGGCCAAATGGGCTCTAAGTCTAAAGATCAGGAAAAGAAATTGGTTAAGCATGCAAAGTAAGATTCATTCGCTTGCATAGCAACTCAAGCACAATATCATTTACTCTGCTTATAAGATAGTGGTTCCTGTCAGATGGCTGCAAAGTAGTTCCTTTATATATCTACATAGTTAGCAGGGTCGATCTCGATATATCTCATTTTAATGAAGCCTGTAACTGATTCACCATTAGGAATGACATTCACCCCCACCCCTATAACCAAGAAAAGCCCCTATGCTAGAAAATAAAGAAAACACTTTAACAATTGATAATGGAGTTCGAATGCGGGGATATATATGAAGAATGGAAAAATCAGCTTCCAATAAATATACAGATTCAAGTCAAAAGGATAACAGTTAAATCGATTGACATTTAATCAGTCATATCCACCGTTCAATGAAAAACCACCTTCCATATGCAAGTTACTGACGCCTAGAATACTAGTCACTAGTCCTAGTTAGGTCAGGTAATGTTGGAACGGTTAAATACGGATTAACCCCTCGAATTTGGAGTTTGCGGCATATAGATATAGATATAACCTTCTCAAAGTGGCGGAGTAAAAGTGGAACAATTAGTTTTTCTTCCAAACTAACAAGAGGTATCTGACATACTTATAATAAGACTAGATATAGTTCTCAGCCTTTTTTTCTTACAGAAGTACCCCGCCTTGGGCCAATTAGCATGATAAAGCCAGTTGAAAAAGAACGTAAATAATAACAACAATAATAATATAACAAGTTTCATCCAACTACCGCTCTTTGTATTTCATTGGCTTGGCCAGTAACAG